TTGGTTCATGAATGAATCAGCCAGTGAACAAATTAATTTTATTCCATTTCTATATTCAAATTTTTAAATGTAGTAATCTCATTAATCTAATTTAAAAACATTAATCTCATAACATCCTTTATACAATTATAAATGGAGTGTAAATGCATTCATTACAACTGAGCTGCATTAAACAGTCTGTCTAAATACACCTCAACGCCACTTCAGATACAGTTTCTGTGCCACCTCTGTAGTGCAAAGATGGATTTTGATGATACTGCTTTCATTTGATTGGTAACAGCGCTATGATGCTAATTGGTGTAAAGAATTAAACAACGTTCTATAGTATGTAACCTGCCCTCCATACTCTTTAGTGACATATCTTTCTCACTTAAGCCATTTTTATGTGAACAGAAAATGTTTCAATTGCCAGTTACTATACTAAAGCATATTGTTCCTCAGGAAGTGATAAAAGCACAAGCTAAGTGAATGATGTGAATGTAGAAGCACTAGTGTTGTTAGCACTAGTGTTGTTACGTTCGTGAACGAATCTTTTTGGTGAACGAATCGTTCTCGTTCACGTAATCCACTGACTCATGTTTCTCGTTCACTGAAATTCCTCCCTCCACAGCAGCGCGGCGCTATTGGCAGCGCATGCGCAGATCAGTGAACCGGGTAGCTCTGTGGACTGTTTCATCCAGTCAAAAGATGACTAAACCTCTATGGCGTTATTTTAATTACAAATGTCGAGAGCGCATTATTGTAGCGCGAAAGCACATTAATACAATGCACGAGCGCAAATCTCTCCGCTCGCGCGCGGATTTCCTTTGCTCTCGCACAACACCGGACGCGCGTGCTCAGATACACGCTGCTCTCGCCCGGAGAGAGTGCACGCACTTAAAACGTGTCTCCTCTCACTCAAACTGTGTCCTGTGCACTCTCAAATCTCTCTGTGCTCATGCGCTATAGATATTAATTATTTTCGCACCTGAATTAAATGTTTTCAAAAGTTATCAACCAATCAGATTTCAAAGATGGATCTGTAATTTCTTTACAATTTAATACTACTTAGTCATAATATTAGAAATGAAAGGGGTGTTTGGATGATTTGTAAATAACCTAGTTTAACAGTTTGGTCAAACCCTTCTGAACGATCTAAACAAACAAAAAAGCTACATTAATATAAAAATGAAATAAATTACATTTAAATTCAAAGTAGTCACTTTAGTAATCTAAAATACTTTTCAGATGTAACTGTTATTTGATTACCACCAATTTAAAAGGTAATTATAACGAAATACAGTTACTCATATTTTGTGTTTTAAATACGTAATGATGTTACGTGTATTTCGTTAATCCCCAACCCCAAATATTAGTGCTAGTGATGTTACGTTCGTGAACGAATCGTTATTTTTGAACAAATCTTTTAGGTGAATGAATCGTTCTCATTCACGTAATCCATTGACTCATAGCAGCGCGGCGCCATTAGCAGCGCATGCGCAGATCAGTGAACCGGGTAGCTCTGTGAACTGTTTCATCCTGTCAAAGAATGATTAAACCTCGAGCCAATAGCCTTCGAGTATGAGATGTGACGGAGCATGTGATTTGTTGAATGTAGTGAACGAATACGCGCTTCACTGAACGAGTTTCTTTTGAGTCTGAACGAGAGCGATCTCTTTCGAGAACGAGTTGAATGAACTGGTACATCTCGTTCGTGAATGAAATGAATGAGAGTGTACCGGGTCAGTCGGCTATTAAGCATGTCAATCTCGATCAGCAATCAGCAGAAAGCGGATGCAAAGCGCAGTTATAGGTACTGTGCAAATAAACTTGTTTATATATTCATATTTAGCATACAGAACATAACTCAACGTTTAATCCCTGATTTATGAATGTTTAAATGTCTGACCAAACAATTAAAATGTTAAATATGCAAGAAAACCTTGTGCTTTGGTCATCTGAACAATTTATTTAGACTTTATTTATTTAATGAGTAGATTATGCACACATTTTAATAAAGCCAAATCATTTTTTTTGTAATAAGTGAATACGTTCGTTGACTTAAAGGCGCAATAGGAGATCTTGGAAAATGCTAACTTTAGCCTGATAGCACTGAAAGCGAATGTCCCACCCTCCCTGCAATCGCCGTCCAAAGCCACGCCCCCTGAATGCATATATGCTCACTCACAGACCAGCGTACCAGGGACAACATTACTACAATAGGCTACATCAGCGGTTCCCAATTCCAGCCCATGTACCGAAGTGAAGTAAACTTCAACGTATTTGCCCCGCTCAGTGAGGAGGGAGCAATGAACACTGTGTAGGGATCATATCGATCGGAACACAGCTCATGCACGTAGCTCTCTTCTAACGAGCTGGTTATCTGAATCGGGTGTGTTAACCAAGCGAGACATGCATAATATGCAGCGCGAGGACTGGAATTGGGAACCGCTGGGCTACATCATGTGTCATTCACCGGTGAGAAAACTTTAAAAGTGCTACAATACCAGGAAGGAAGATCGGGTTGTTGATGTTTGTCTGCCATTCTCGCTCTGTCTGCACAGCGTGCGTGAACGTGCTGATGACGTATCCTGTCTGTGCGAACCGGGTGCGCAGAAGTATGCTAATACATATGTTGACAGTCAGGTAGGAAAGCCAATTAAAACGCTCGGAGAGAGCGTTTTGATTGGATGAACATTTCTTGGTCCTACGCCTTCCACAGAATATATAAATACAGATAAATACATTCAGACCACTTAACTTAATGATTGCTATCGGGATGTGAAGAGACTTTCAACCAGCATAACAAAAAATGTTTCTGAAGACAATCACCTATTGCACCTT